CTAATAGTCCATTTTACAGTTGTGTGCTTGGTTGCCAAGCCTTTGAATGGGAGTGAGGCTAGAGATGACCTTGTTATGATACAAACCTTGCTGCCTTTCAAATGTAAATCACATTGTTATCATGCTAACTAGATACAGGTCTCTATCACAACAAGGTCATCTCTAGCCTCACTCTGAATCAAAGGCTTGGCAACTAAGTACACAACTGTAAAATGGCCTATTAGCTTAATAGAGGGGGGTGCTTATTAATAATAACAATAAAGAACTAAATTTTATGATCTAACTCTCTCAATGGACCACATTACATTAATTTTTTAACATCGCTCTGTTATTTCCGTATACTGTATTCTATTGGTGCCAACGTGATAACATCAATCAATCAATCAATCAATCACCATTATCAATTTTAAATGACAAACTAAAATTACAATAATTGAATAATTTTATCGTACTTACTGACATAGAGTGTTACTTCGAAATTTTGTTTTTTGAGGGGCAGGGGTGGTGTGGCTTAATAGAGGGGAGCTTAATAAATTTCTTCCTCTAAAGCGGGGGGTTTATTCAAGGGGGGTTTATTCGAGGGGGGTTTATTCAAGGGGGTGGCTTAATAGAGGATTTACAGTAAATTACTGGAGAGAACACTTGTGCTTAGAAGCTAAGTCCTATGTAGGTTTTCAAAAAATAAAATGGTTACTGACCCTCAAAATGGGATAAATTGTTGTAGTGATCAACACAAAAAAAAGACCAAGGCAGGGCTCAACACTAACTTTTCAACTTAGTAGCCAAGTGGCTGGTGACATCTTAGATGTTACGACAATTTCAGTTTGTTTACTAGCCAAACTGGCTGGTGGAAATCGAAAACCACTAGCCGAAACTGAATTTCTACCAGTCTGTGGCTAGTGGGCTGCTGTTAGTGTCCAGCCCTGCAAGGTATCCAGAACCTCCAGTGGTTTTTTTTAACCTTTTTACTGCTAACATAGGTGAAAAATTGTTTTAACTGCCTGCAATGTATTTCTTATAAAGTTTGTTCTAAGAATTTGGTGTTGGATCAATTGATATTCCCCTTGTTATGAATTTTTGTGATTCTCATCACTTGTCGGCTTAATATTGTATTGATATTATAAGGAGAAATTATGTCTTGGTCGCTCCTGGTAGTGAAAGGGTTCAGGTAGAGAAAACCTTCAGATCAACAATGAATATTATCTGCTGCATCTGAAAATATTTGGCCTATGCATGTCAACTCACTGCTTTATTTAGTCATTTCCCCAGTTGATGTTTCAGAGATTCTCAACACATCTTCATATGACAATTTATTTAATATGAGAAAAGATCTATTAGAATTGGAAGAGTGGATAGTTTCTTCTTTTGTTCTGCAGGAGGGGGGAGCTGCTGGATCTGTCATTTCAACACTAAGTGATTTTTCAGCCATCAAAGAGCTGGACAAGATAACTAAAGAAATAGAAGACCTTGGGAGGTTTGTGTAGTAATACAGTATTAAATTAAAATTTGATATAAGACAACACCTATAATTTGTCATTTACTAAAATGGACTAAGAAATTTGCCATGATATGCTAAGGCAATTGCCTAGCACAACTCTTACACTTCTTTTGTACTTAGCAACTTCCTGTGTACATCCATTACTCAATAGTGTATGCTGTGGTGTTTACCATTTGTTAAATGACGATTCAGTAATAGTCAACCTTTCTGAACTGTCCTGAAATCTTATTTTCAGTCCCTGTATTCTTTTGGCTTTGTGATCATATCTCTTGTTTTTAACAACATTATTGATTTTTACATGCATACTGGTATCATTCTCTTTTTTTGTAGAGAAAAAACCAGTTTACAGCATGAGATTGAAGAAAAAGAAGAAATGATCAGACAAAGAAATGGAGAAATACAGGTACACTGTCATGTTACTTGTCATCAACAGTGTCACATTTGAAACTTGCAGTTTTTCCAATGTCATTGTTGCTATCTTGCTCTTTATTTTACAGAATCTACAGAGTGAGCTTGAAAAAACTAAACTGAAATATCAAGAATTAGAGAAACAAAAAACAGATTCACAAGGCAAACTTGATGACTTAGACAAAGAGGTGAAACATGCATTTCTGGGTAGTTCTTACTCTTTTACATTCTGGTATTCATATTCATTATGATATTTTTAAACAGTCTATCTTATTAGGCTCTGCGTTAAGTTGTCTGTTTATTTCTATGAACTATGCCATAGTGACTTGACAACTTCTTTTCTTAACTTTGTCTTTAGTTTAACATTTTTCAATTTTGGTCAATCCAAGGTATTGCAAAGGCTTGGCCGAAGAGGGCCAGGGTATATCTAGCCCCTACTTCCTTTGCAGAAATAAAGGAATAGTACATAATAACATCCCTGTGCCAATTAGAAGCTAGTGTAGAATTTATGGATGGGGAAATTATGTCAGTCTGTCATTTTATTTTGTGGAGAGTATTAATTTTTTCTGTTGTCCTATGTCACATGATAACTACCTTACCTCCCTGATTGTCACCATTGTTATGATGTACTTTCCTTTCTATTCCAGAAAGCCAAATTGGATGAAATGTTGAAAGATGCAAAGCAGAAATGTGAGGAAGAAACAAAAACGGTTAGTGCAGTTCAAATCAGTAAACAATAATTTGGCATGTTTCTGCAGTGCAAGAATAATCACCAACAGTGGGAGTTAAAGTGGAAACAAAAGAAAAATCTGATTTCTGTTAATCTCTTTTTCAGATAAACGGTTTGCAGGCACAGATCGCATCTTCGAGAAAATCAGCCCTGGTACGTGAATCTCTTTTATTTCTACACCTGTTACCGGACAGTAGAAAAAAAAATTGTCACTCTGATGAAAAAACGTGCCTCTCTCTCATAAAGACTACGGGGATCAAAGGTTGCTTGTTATCCCCCACCCCCTAGTGCATCCATGTATGGTCTTATATAGTAATAAGACGCTTGTGAAGG